CCCAACCACCCCCAAGAGCCAGCCAGCAGGCCAGGGGGAAGGAGAGGGTGGGCTCATAAAGCTTCCTCGGTGGGTCAGTATGGAGCTGGCTGAGCTCTCCAAGAGAAGACCTGTCTCTCCAGCCCAGGCAACGGCCCTGGGCGGTCCTCTGATGTGGCCGGTCCTCTGATGCGGCCGGTGACCGCTTTCCAGTTCTGGCCCTGGCCCTTCGGCAGCCAGGCTGTTCCCCTCCCCGGGCTCAGCCCACTGGCCCCATCCTGCCTGGGTGCAGAGGAGGGTGGAGGGGGCTGAAGCACTGACGAGGGGGTGAGGACAGAGGGCAAACCCTCATAACTTCACTGGAAGGGGAAGGGCCGGGTGAGCTCACGGCTTCCCAGACGCCAGAGGAACCGCAGGGAGAGGGATGTGTTTTGCAAACACCGGCCACAAGAAAAGCTTCAGCTGGAGAGCCCGGCGGAGCAGAGCCCGGCGAGCCCACCGCAGAGCTGCTCTGCCGGCTCCCTTGGAAGGAGCTGCTCCTGCAAACACCAGCTGGGCTTGTTTTAGACAGGAGGGAGGAGAAGCAGCTTGCTGGGTCACAGAGTCCCAGGCTCTGCTAACGCAGGCAACACGTCACCCTGGCTCTGTGCTAACGGAGCAACGAGGCCGCCTGCTCCCCCCTCCTGCCCCGGGTCTCTTCTGGCCCAAGCAGGGGAAAGGGCTGGCTCAGAAATTGCCCTAGGAGGGGGCTGCAGGGCCATTGCATGGGACTTGCTGAAGCTGGAGGCGGCAACAAGGCAGTAGGTGCTGGGAGGGGAAAAGAAACCCCCTCCCGGAGCCCCACGCCGGGGGAGGCTTGCAGCCATCCAGGGCAGGCGAGCGGTACCCGGAGGGGATGCCAGGCGTGGGAAGGGAGGAGGATGTCACGAGGAAGCAGCTAAAGATGCAGGCTCTGGGGAAACTGGAGCAGCTCCAGCATTCCCCAAGCACAGGCTCTTGGCAGGACCAGCAGACCGAACAACCGGCAGGAACCGTGCAGGCAGAAAACGCCCGCGAAGAAAATCCACCGGGCCGTGGCAGCAGCCCCCAAGAGCAAGCCCAGAGCTCCTGCGGCGGGGGGTAGGAAGCAAAGCGGAAAGCGAGCACGTACCTGTAGCACAAAACCAGAGCGTGCCGGGCTCTCCTGCCAGACCTGCATCCAGAGCAAGCCGCCTCCCTGCCGGGCATGGATTCAGCGGGTGGCTGCGAGGCCGTAGCTGGGAATTGGCTTAGGGACCTGGCCGCGGCTGCCGCGCTTCTCGGCTCGCTGAGCTCCAGCTTAATCTTGGCCCAGCTTTCCCTTTTATCCCCTGGTACAACCTCGATACATTTTTCCAATTAGGTCCCTCTTTTAAGCTCCGGACCACATTTCTAGGAAGGGCTGCACTGTTTCTCACGGCCCTCATGGGCTGACGCTGCGCAGAGCGGGACATCCCTGGCACCGCTCCTGCCCGCATCCAGCTAAAGTGCTGCCACGCTGCAGGCGGTGCGGCGCTGCCCGGAAGCACTCAAGGAGTTACCCGTTACCCCCAGCCCACCTACCGGGTATTTTTAAGAGCAGCGTTCCCCGTCTGCCTCATCACGGCTCCGGCAGGTTGCGAAGCGCCAAGCTCGCCACGCAGGAGCACGGGCCGCTTCCACCTTTCGCGCGCTCCCGTTATTGGAAAGCCCAGCCGGCAACCTGCTTCTGTCCTCTCCGAATCCGCCTCTGCCGCCTTTCGCAGGGCGACGGCTGAAAACCAAAGGAAAATACGCAGCTAGGGTGTACTTTTGGATGCAGAAGGCTGGATGAAAATGTGGTCTAAAAGCGACAGTGGGGGAAAAAAAAAAACCAAACAACCAACAAATCGATAAAGTCCTCAGCGGATGCTTCGGCACAGTGAAATCGCTGCCTGCTGCGGGAGGGCTGGTTGCAGGGCGACGGGTAAAGCAAATGAGGAGTTTGCAGCACAGGAGTACGATGCGTTGAGATGTTTAACTCGAGTCGGGAGTAACGGAGCCCGGGCAGGACGGGAAGGAAGCAGCTTGCCCAGCCTGGTCTGCCCGATCCCGACCAGCTCACTACGGCTCCCACAGGCAAGGGTGGGTGACCCAGCTCCGCTCCAGGAGCTGAATTAAAACACAAACTAGAAGCGCAGCTCACAAATGCACGCTGAGCGCATTTCCCCTTGAGGCCATTTTCCAAGCTGCAGTCAACCGCAAGTCCACCCCGCTAACAGCCTCCTCCATTAGCATTCGCGTGCTCTTTCCGTATCGGTAATGCCCTCCGCCCGAGCATCTCGAGAGGTTTTACGAAGAGCAGCAGAGTGCAGCGATTAGGCCTCTAGCCAGGGAGCAAAGAGACCCGGGTTTGCTTCCTGCATCCGTCACTGTCACCTCTCCTCGGCCCGCACCTCTGCCGCTTAGGTAAGAAATTCTTGGGGGCGGGGGCCCACCTCTCAACGGTGCCTCTCCGCAGCGCCGCGCAGAGCGGGGCTGGGCTCTGCACATCTGCCTGCCCCCGGCCCCGGCCGTGCCGGGCGAGAAGGTTCCGGCTCCTCCGTCCCGCCAGCCGAACTCCCCCGCCCCGCCAGCCGAACGGCTCGTCTGCTTCCCGCGCCCGTGTCCGCTCTAACGAGCTGAAACGGGTTACGGGGTAGGTCTTTGCTCGTGTTCACGCTGACCCAGGCTAGGGAACATCCCACGAGCAGCTCAGCCGGCAGACGGGAGAGGGGAAGGGGGGCAAAACTCCAGCGGCAGACTGCTTCACTTGCTGAAGGAAGAAAAAAAAACCCCAAAGCCCTCAAATACACGCAGAGCAACGAGCTCAGAGAGAATATGGCACCAGCGCGTTCCCCGGGAACAGGTCTCTCACTCGTGCGCGTGAGCGGCTGACCAAAGACACCCCTCGGCTCTTGCCACCCATCTGCTCTTCCCACTCGTGATGCCGCACAAGCTGGGAGGAGCGGGGACCGTTCCCCGACGTGCATCTCGCCCCAACCAGCCACCGATTCCGCGAGCAATTTTAAGGCGGTCTCGTCCCGCGGTGAAAATAACACCTACGGGCCCCCCAAGCTCTCTGCTCCCTTCTGGGTTTCTCAAGCTGGATCTGCACGTGGCGTTTTTGACCACAGGTGGAAATGCCCTGGGCCATCAGCTGGTGGCACAGTGGGGGACGTGCCCCGTGGCCGGCTGGGTCTCAGGTCACTCTGCCCCCTGGTTTCAGACCGAATGGGCGCCTGAAGCAACGCATGCTCAAGGCTCTTCGTTCTCCCCCTCGTGACTGAAGGATTCAAGGTGAGCACTCACGTGGATCCAGCAGAGAGTAGCGTGTGTCCTCCCACTCAGAAACCCAAGCGCTTTGTACTGGTATTTTCAGACGCTTGCGGGGTCTGTTTGTTACTGTTTTGAAATATTAGGGTTGAGAGTGGAAGAAAGAATCCCACACGGGAATAATTTTGCATTTCCAAGTGCCTGAGGTCCTATGGATGAGGTAAAGGGCTGGGAGTTAAACGTCTGGGCAGGCAAATGCCAAATCTCCAAATCTTGGTGAATACGGGGGGGTGGAGGGGAGGAATAAATAACCCTGCATGTAATTAATTGCTAACAAAACAAAATAAGAGTAAGACACCCACGCCCAGTGCCATCTTCCCAGCTATCACGGGGCCTCCAGCAACGGAGGTGCAGACACCTTCCCCAAGATTTCTTCCCCAGAAGTTTTAAAAGGAGTTACCTCGAATCCCTCTGATGAATCCAGCTGATCCACCGGCCAGGAACCCGGCCAGCAGGTAGGTCTGGTACATCGGCAGGAAAGGGGAAGGCAGCCTTCGCTGAGCATGGCAGCTTCCTCATTCTTTCACAAGAGCCACCCTTGGCTGCGGGCTGCCTTGCCTTTATGAAATTGCTGCCTTTTGTCCAGCCTTCAATGCAAACAGGACAGGTGAGATAAGATCTGAGCACCGCAGTGCCTGTCCTTTTTGCTTAAAGCCAGCCTGGGCTTCTACCGATGGCGAAACACTCAGAGGACCTCATTTAAAAGCAAACAGAAGATTAAAAAAAAAAAAGGGAAAGACAAAGCATTAAAAGCTGCTCCCCTTCCAGCAATGTGTCTCCATCAGTCTCTCTCCGACGACACGCATTTTGCTTTGTCTTACGAGGGTGAGGGGGGAGTACGCGCAAGGAGAGATTAGACTGTATTAGCATATACATGATCAAAGCTTGCTTAGGATATCTTCTAGTTGCAAAGAATAAGAAATACATTTCCTGTGGCTCAGGAGACATACTAGCTTATACGGCAGCGCTGGCTGACCATCTCTCGTAACTAACATAACGTGTCTTGCTAAGGTAACATCTGCCTCTGGAACAACAGGTTAGGTTTCATGAGGTGTTCCTACACAGTGAGACAACGGTCCTCTTCCTGCAGCGCGTGGGATTTGCGGAGCCTACTCCCGACGTACGCTGCCGGAGCATTGCCGTTTCCAGGATATCTTTCCATACAGCCGTGGACGCGTGGCAGAACAGCCACTGGAAGGTGTTTATCTCGCTGCTTGTGAGCTAGCTACGTGGTTTTTCATTGAACAAATGAAAACATTTTCCTTTCCTGCGAGCATATCTGACTCACGCTTAGGAAAGGCTATTGACTAAGCGCCAATCTCTTTTGTAACGCCCAGCACACCTTACCACTGCACAGCAGGGAGACGAACCCAGCCGTTCAAATCTTCGTCTCCTCCTCGGACAGGGAGCCGAACCTCAGACCTTGCCTCGGGGCTTTGTGGAATCCGAACTGCAGGGAACTCCACCGCGGGACCCGACTGGAGGCATCCCGGTTCTATTCACTACTTCAGAACGGGATTTTAGCCTTATCCGGTGTCTCTCGCTAAGACCAAGAGGAAAACTCGTGCTTATTTAAATAGAAGCAGAGGTAGACCAAGAGGTTTCGACTCCCCCACCCCTCATGTTTTAAAATAAGAACACTAAGGAAAAAGCAGGAACTTGGAGAGAGGCCGATCATTTGGTGGACATTTGGATCTTCCTTGTAAAAACATTTTTGGGTAGGAAGAGAAGGAAATCTAGAGAAACCGTTGCAGGATGAGGCTACGTGTAACTACAGTCTGACTAACAACCACGAGGAGTAAGGCAACAAGACTTACGAAGAACTGTACTAGTCTGATATACAGCTTCATCTTCAAGTGAAGACTTATAAGTAGACTTACTCTTAGAAACAAACGTTAATTAGAAAGACAGACGGAAGCTGAACTAGACTCTATCTTGGCTCCTCGATTCGATGTACTCGGATCGCTTGCCTTCAGCTTGGGGGGATACATTTTAGACCTACTTAAGTGGACACCGTGTGAACCGGTTGAAAATGAGATCTGTCCACAAACCCCCAAAAGGCTGCGTAAAATTAACAAGGTATTTCACTCTCCTCTTCTTTTGTAGGCTCAAACTGTTTTAGAACCGTCATTCAAACTCATCAGTGCGCTTCCAGTCCCTTTTACAAACCGTTACATGAATATTTGTTTTTGCCTTGGGTTTAACATTTTCAAGCAGTAACTGTGGCTGCGTGCCCGCGGAGAGCAGGAATCACTGCAGGATTTGGGAATACTGCTTTAACACCTCCTCTGCAGCCGTGCCATGCTAAACCACTGCAAAACAGGTGACGCGCGAGCACGGCACATCGTCCTCAGCGGTTCGCACTTTACTGTGCCGACGGAATGACATTTCCAAACCAGGCCAAAAGAAACCGTTAACCTTACATTTTATGTACTTGACCTCAAAATTTCTCACCTGAGGACAAGACTGATTTTTTTGAAAGGTATTTCCATAAATCGTTAAAAAGTAATCTCTCTAAAGATTAGAAAAGCTTAGTCAAAACTTTGTAATACGAACAGCAGGGACAAGCGGCAGGAGTTCTGGTTTCGAAGGAACAGCAACATTCACTACAACCGGGAAGGCGCCCACGAGGACAGCTGTAACCGACAGTTCGCAGTTCTTCCAAGGAACCTCACAAAAAAGATGCAACGGCTTACGGACACATCACTCTCTGCAATGTGACATGCCACTCCTTTTTAATCAGTCGGGTTTCCACACAAGGTACTGAATATTATTCTATTTACATTCAAAAATAGCTTTTTTTCTCTCTTCAGTACATAGTGGGAATGCCCGTAAATTAGTCAGTAGAAACCCCTCTAACACAGGTGGAGGACAGCTTTGTTGATCTCTGGGTTTGTCCAGTCGTTCCGGATATCATCCAGGTGATTATCAAAATCTACAAGCGTCTCGTAGGACTTGCTGTCCAAGAGAGATGCAGCGATTCTCTGGGCTTCGGTCCAATCTTCACAAAAGTCACTAGGACGTAAAATAACCAGGAGTTAAAAGTAATCATGAAGGAAATCTCCACCGCCTCCTCTGCCCCGGAAATTAAGCCACGCTCTCTGCAACGTGGTCAGGGTGATCGTACCGCTGCCTGGCTGCAGAAGCCGGCTGTTCCCTCTCACTACAGCAAAAAACAGCTTTAAAAGCACTGTCAGCTACACCCACCGCCCTTACAGTGTCACTCACCACAATCAAGCTTTTGCCCTTAACCAGGCAACCCGTTTTTCCTTACTACCCAAACACAAACTCACTCTGAAGTTTACTCACACGTGCGGGTCCTTGCACCTCCACTTGTTCTCATGAAGCTCATACACATGAATGGCAGGCTCTACGCACTCCATTGTAAACTTGGTGTTATCGACCTGTTGCGCAACAGAAAAACACCACCTCAGTCTCTTCCTCAAGATCCCAAGTAAAGAGATGAAATTTAAAAAAAAAAAAGAGTCAGTTTTTACAAACAGGGCGCCTCACACCAACTCGTCCACCGTTCTACCTTCAAATGAGCCAGATCTTACACGTTTAAACTGCCAACATCCTTTGTCACTGCGGCAAGGGGGCAAAGCGCCGTTGGCTTTATATAAGACGAGAGTTTTAGTCACAGACGGGGGTCTGAAGTCACGAATACGCTGCCTTCGCTCAAGCCTCGCAAGCGGAGAAGGCCTCCGCTTCCTTTGAGATGGCAGAGAGCTAACCGCAGTCTCTCTGCAGGCTTACTAAGAACTTCACTGGCTACGGGTCATTGCACCTCTTCCCCAGAGCATTTGGAGGGA